TCTCTCTCTCTCTCTCTCTCTCTCTCTCTCTCTCTCTCTCTCTCTCTCTCTCTCTCTCTCTCTCTCTCTCTCTCTCTCTCTCTCTCTCTTCTCCGACTTGGATCGCTCCCTGAATACACCCGCTCAGATCAGACTCAGACCTTGGCAGGGGCCGCTCTCCGTCTCTACCATTACCCTAGCTATAGCTGTCGTTGACGCTCCCTTCTTCCTCGAGTGTTGTCTTGACCAAGTCGCTCGGTCACACAAGCAGCAGCAACACTTCCGCAACTTCACGAATGAACAAGTGCATCCGTTGCTGCACTGTAGCAGCTAAATATAGGAATTGGACTTTGCTTGGCCTGCCTAAGACCAGTACCGGTCAGCCATGGCCTGTCTGTTGCAGTCATTTGGGGAAGCTTCTCAGACTTTCCTGGGACTGGCTGCAATTTCTCTGGACTTGGGACTTGGCTTTGACCCTTCTGGAGTTTTCTGTGGGGTACCGGACTGACTCTACCCCAACCTGACTTTTCCGGATGTTTCCTAACCCAGGCCCACAATGCTTCACTGGCCTATCGGACCTGTGATGCTTCTTCACTGGCGTATCGGACCTACGCGAAGCTGGGACTAAGGACTTTGGAACTTTCTGGACTTTTGGGGATTTGATGCCGGCTTTCTGGGGTCTGCAGCGTGAAATCCTTTCACTAGGCGAAAAAGAGCCCTCACTGGCTATCCCTTTGTATATCCCTTGATGTAAATAGGCCCATTCCTGTTCGTCCCTGTCCTGGTTTCAGATGGATCATCATTATAGAGTGTCCATCAAAGTCTAGTCTCTTTCAAAGATCGTGAAACGGTTTTCACCTTTTAGCAGTAGTGAATGCAGATCCCAACACTCGATCCCTAGTTCTCACCTTACCTGTGTACAGTATCTGTGTCGACCCGAGTGTTTGAACCCGTGACCTGTGTTTTGACAGTTGTTGTTGTGTGTCGTAGGTCTGTGTAGTGGTAGGGGTTAGATCTGTAGGTCTGTCGAGTAGGAGTCACAGCCCTGTAGAGGTCGTAGCTATAGGGATCCTGAAAGGTCAAGGTCGTAGCTGCTACAGTCCTGAGAGGTCAAGTTCGTAGCTGCTACAGTCCTGAGGGGTCAAGGTCGTAGCTGCTACAGTCCTGAGAGGTCAAGGTCGTAGCTGCTACAGTACTCGAAAGGCCAAGTCCACGAACTTCCAGAAGGCCCGGAAGTGGCCTTTTGAAGCTGCTCACGTTTGAGACAGAGGCAAGTGGGCAAGTGGTGGAGTCTACCCGTGCTGAGTCAACAGTCCCAGTCCCAGTCAGTCCTAGTCCAGTCCATCAAGTACCGTACGGGACTGTGTGCACCACGGGCATGGGAAAGGGCCAGACCAACGAGCTACAGAAGTATAAATTGAAAGGCAGCGACCAGCCATTCATTCATTCCTGCATAAGCCATGTGGAAGCGCTGCCACAGCGACTTGTGCGAGGTGGTCTGCAGTGAGCCCGGAGACGAAGTGGGCGAGAAGAAAGTTAGCCATAGCGATAGGGTAGCAGCGGCCATAGCCACCATAGCTGTAGGTGTGTGTGCAATCAGACTCGTCTTATTCACACTTTTCATGCATGTAAACAGCAGCGCAGCAAACTGGCGACATGCGCCCACAAAATACTCAGAGATATGGCTTCCGGATAAGAGTTCACTTCCAACTGGCTATGGCGACTCAGCGCGCCAACAACTCACTGTTCACATACACTGGATCACCCTGGATATCCCACACGCATCACTCTGAATACTCACACATACACACACACACACTTCCCACTGACTACAGCTATGGCAGCTATGGCTGCCTCTACCCTATCGCTATGCTAACTCCTCCTCTCTTGCCCACTGCATCCTCCGGGCTCACTGCAGACCTCCTTGCACAAGTCGCTGTGGCAGCGCTTCCGCATGGCTCACGCAGGAATGAATGAATGGCTGGGCACTGCCTCTTGATTTATACTTCTGCAGGTCGTTGGTCTGGCCCATTTCCCTTGCCTGAAGTGCACACAGTCCCGTGCGGTACTTGCTGGACTGACTGGGGACTGAGACTGTTGACTCAGCAGGGTAGACTTCTACCACTTGCCCACTTGCCTCACCACTTGACCACTTGCCTCTGCTTAAACGTGGGCAACTCACGAAAGGCCACTACTGGGACCTTCCGGAAGGCCGTAGATTTGGCCTTTCGTGACTGTAGCAGCTACGACTCTGACTCTTCTGGACTGTAGCAGCTACAACCTTGACCTTTCGAGAATACTACAGCTACGATGTCTAGACCTGACTAAGACTCCTATCCGACAGGTCTACAGATCGAACCCATGCTACCTATGGACCCTTTGACAACCTATCAGCTATTACAAATACACAGGTCGCGGGTTCAATTCTACGGGTCGACACAGGTACTGTACACAGGTAAGGTTGGGGTCCAGGGATCGAACCCTGGGATCTGCAGCAGCTACTGCTAACTGGTGAATACTGTTTCACTCCCGCCGTCCTAAATTCGAGGTCCTTCGAGAATAATTCAGTCCAAGGCAGGACCTTTACCTTTCTGTTCTCTCTCGTAGGCTCTAACTATATCGGGAGCTGTCTCTAGAAGTTCTGATCTCGTAAACCAATGGTCATCCTCCGGTTCCTGATATGCAAAGCGGACCTTGTACTGTTTCTGTGGACGACCTCTACCTCCTGTTCTAAACACATCCTCCTCTACAATGCCCTCTATGTCATAGCTCCCATCCATATCCGGAGGGATCATGGATCTTCTAGAAGGGAACTGTTGGCTTGTAACACATGGCAACAGCTTCGAAGCATGGAACACAGGACTGGGATCTCTATAGTGTATGATGGTCCATCCTCTCCGCCCTTGACTTCTAGAACCGGCCACGGTCCTCTATATGCAGGCAGTAACTTCTGCGAGATGTTTTCTTCAGGCGCAAACTCTTTTGCCTTTACCTAGACTAAGTCGCCTACTTGAAACTGTGATGGGCGACGGTGCTTGTTAGCCTGTTCTATCATCCTATGCTGGGCCTTTCTAAGGTTCTCAACAACAGTTGCTAATTCTTTCTCGTGCTGTATCGCAAACTCCTGGTACCAGGCGGTAGTCTGTGAATCTGATCTCGGTTCAGTCCTTCGAACGGTCTGCGCGGTCTAAAGGACTTGTGCAACTCATTGGGAGTGCGGCAGGTGGATAGATGTATGCTGTTGTTGTAGGCACTAGCTACTTTAGGCAACATCTCATCCCAGTTGATCTGATCTGGTCTAATGTACATGCGCAAAACTTGCTGTAGGATCTTGTTCATCTGTTCTGTCTGACCGTTGGTCTTTGGATGACGGCCAGATGACATTAACAACTTAGACCCGTACACTCTCATGAGTTCTTGCCAGTTCTGGCTGGTGAAGCGACTATCTCTATCGCTGACTATTGACAATGGGATTCCATTCTCACTAACCCAAAAGTCAAAGAACTTTTGTATCACTAAGTCTGTACGTGCCTCTGCAGGCAAAGGAACAAAAACTGCATACTTACTAAGCCGGTCAACTATGACCATGACTTGGCTCTTACCATGTCTGCTCTTGACTTGGGTGCCCATGAAGTCTATGGACACTGAGTCTCCCGGCTGATCCGGAATAGGCAAGGGTCTGAGAAGACCAAGGGGTGCGCGCGTAGTAGGCTTATTACGCTGGCATACTTTGCAACTGCGGACATACTCTATGCAGTCATTCTTCATTCCTGGTCAGGTATACGCATGCATTAGGTTGGCTAATGTCTTTTGCCAACCAAAATGTCCCTCAGTATCGTGGCATTCCCCTAGGATCAAACTACGGATCTCTTCGCTGTTGGGAACGCATAGACGGTCGAATACGTTAGTCTTCTCAAACAACAACCCGTCGGTAGTGCGGTAATCTGGTTCGGTCTCTGGGGCCTCTCTAACTCTCTTTAGGAGGTCGCTATAGATAGGGTCCTGCGCATACGCTTGCTTCACTTTCTCCTTCAGGTCTCTCCCTATATCCAGATAGTGTACTATGGCTCCAAAGTAGTCTGATCTCCTACTCAGAGCGTCCGCAACTACGTTGTACTTGCCCTTTACTGGCTTAAGCTCAAAGTCATATTGGTCTATCTCTGCGGCCCACCTAGTCAACTTAGGTGTCATCTTGGCCTGGGTCATTAACCATCTAAGAGTTTCGTGGTCTAAGTATACTTTGAAGTGCCTCCCAAGCAGATAATGCTTCCAGTGTTCTAAAACCTTCCTGAGAGCATAGAGTTCCCTCTCATACGTCGAGGTGGCTACCTTCTCTGAGGGCATCCTCGCTGACATGAACTCTACGGGTCTATAACCATTACAGTCATCTTGCTGCAACATGGCGCCTATCCCATATTGACTCGCGTCCGTGGTGATGACAAATGGCAACGACGGATCTGCAACTTTGAGGACAGGGTACTCTATGAACGCGCGCTTTAACTTCTTGAGCGCAGACGTACAATCTCTATCCCATTGCCAGATTGCCTCTTTCTTAAGCAACCTGGGCAAGGGAGCGGTGATAGTAGAAAAGTTCCTGACGAACTTTCTATAGTAGTTAGCTAGGCCTAGGAACGACCGCAACTCTGTCAATGTGCGGGGCGTCGGCCAGTCTCTAATCGCCACGATCTTGCTGTCCTTTGGCTTAATGCCGTCTCCAACTAATACGTGGCCCAAGTACAAGATTTGCGACTTGGCCCACTCGCACTTCTTCGCGTTGATCTTGAAGTTTGAGTCTCTCAACTTCTCCAAGACCTGCCTCAGATGACCCTGATGCTCTTGGAGGGTCTTACTGAAAACTAAGATGTCATCTACATAAACTACGACAAATTTATCCAACCAGGGTCTAAACAAATCATTCATGCAACGTTGAAACGTAGCTGGCGCGTTGGTTAGTCCAAAGGGCATCACTATGAATTCATAGTGCCCATACCTAGTCCGGAATGCAGTTTTGTACCGATCATCAGGATGGACTTCTATCTGATGATAACCAGACTTCAAATCAATCTTAGTGAAATACTTACAACCCTGCACCCGATCTAGAAGATCGTCTATCCTGGGCAGTGGCTCAGCATTCTTCACAGTAATCGCGTTCAAACCCCTATAGTCTATACACATTCTCAGCTCTCCTTCCTTCTTGGGGACAAACAAAGCTGGTGCTCCAAAAGGAGACGAACTGGCCCTGATCCAACCTTTTTCGAGGAGCTCGTCTAACTGCTTGCGAAGCTCCTCTAACTCTCTAGGGGACATCCTATAGACTGCACCCTTAGGAGTTCTACTGCCAGGCTCTATCTCTATCCTGTGCTGGATGGGTCGCGACACTACTCCTGTCGGCGACTCGGTCAAGTCTTTGAACTCTTCCAGCAGCTTGGCTATGGTTGGATCTGTAGAACTGTCTTCTTTCTGGGCCTCAGTGGCAGGTCTAACATAAACTACAAAGACCTGTTCTTCTAACCGCTCCTTCTTTACTAACCGCGCGAACGCGGGAGCACTGAGACAACAATGTGCCAAGGTGTTGTCTACACCTGACACATGAAACAGGTGGGCAGTCTTAACCTCGCCTGACGGGCTAGGGAGCCTACACTCATGCTCTCTCAAATGGAGTGTGGCCCCTGCTGCCTCTCCCCAATCCATCCCTAGTACTATATCAAAAGGAAGGTCATCCTGTACGAGGAGAGTCAGGGAATGGAGAACTTTCTCCACCTTCCCATCTTTCTCTAGGCGAAAGTACGTCTGGACTCCCTCTACATAGTCCTCAACTCGCATCGTGCGGTTGTCTGCGAGGACACTGACGATGGGGTCTACTAATTTCTGGACTTTTAGCCCTAGCTTCAACTTCTTCAGCGCCCTACGGCTAATATAACTGCGGGTGGCCCCTGAATCTATAAGGGCCCCTACTCTACTCCTGAAAATTTCTACATCTACCAAGATCAGTTGTCCTTTACTCTCTTTCTTCATCTTGGCCCAAGCTGGCATCCTCTCCTTTAACTCTTCTGCCACACCTGTGAGGGACGTGCCTAAAGAGACGCTAACACAGGCGGTCTCTGTACAGCTAGCTAGGCACGGGCCTGCAACCTCTGCCATAGGCTCATGTGGGTTGGGAGTGTCCTGTTCCTGCGCGCTCACTTCTCCACATGGCCTTGAAGTAGGGGCAGTTGCGACCCCTACGGGCGGCTGCCTTTTGGCTGTTGGGCAGCCCAACGGGCCTGTCTATACTTTGGATAAAATTTTATTACATGGGTCGGGTCACCATAAAACACGCACTGACCCAGGTTTACGCGTTCCTGCCATAACCCCTGGTCCAAGCCCAAGTCTTCCTAGGGCCTGCCCTGTGGCAAGCCTGGGTGCCATCCTCCTTGAGGTGCCCTTCCACCCCGTCTCTGTGGGGATCGATTACCCTGGCGATTTGGCGGGGGACCTTGACCCCTGCCTCCCGCTTGGCAGTTTCCTTGGCCGCCAACCCCCTGCGCGCCCGGTCCTCGACCTCCCATGGCCTGGCCTCCTCCTCTACCTTGCGGCCTCCCTCCAGCTGCGACAGCAGCATAAGACCTCCCTTGTCCTACACTACCGTCCTCTTCCTCTAGGCCCCACTCAATCTGACTATATGGGACCTCATCACTACCACCTTCCTCTAATGTCAGGATCATATGATCCTTGGCCTTGACTTGGCCAGAGATGGTACGTCCTTTCCACCTTTTCCCTTTTTCCAGGTCCTTATGCCAGAAGGTGGAAACTGGCATAGACTTTGACTCGAACAGGACCACTTCCCTACTCAATGCATCATAGGTGATGCCGGCCTGTTCAGTCTTATCAAAGAAGTGCCCCCTCAGGGGCTCTGGCATGGCACGATAAAACAATTGGACCAATTGGGTCTCAGTGACCCCATGGTCTGGGACGACCACCAGGTCGTCCATGGTTCCCTTGAGTGCCCTTGCACTCCTCCACTGTCATGAGTGGATTGTTTGTAGCTTGTCAGAGGCACGAATGCCTCTCGTTGGGTCTGCAAATCGCTCCTTCAGGAACTTGAGGAATTGAGGAAGGGGGGTAACTTTAGAGTAAGCAACCAGGTTGTTTTCACAACCGGCTGGCTTCCTCCCTTCTCCTCTTCTGCTCCCTTTTCATCCTCAGTTTCCATTCCAGTCTCTTCTCCTCCTCGGCCTCTTGACGTTCAAGGGGGTCCTTACTTACTTCGAGGGCCCTGGCAAACGCCTCTTTCTCTTCCGGCGGCACATACATCTGGTCCTCCTCATCTTCTCCCAATGATAAATTAGCAACCCACTCACTTATTTTATTCTCCATCTCTGCGTCTGTGTCTCTCTTCGTGCCACTACTTCCCTCTCTGCTCTCAATCCTCATTCTTTCTTTTTCTTCTTCTGTTGCCGCTTCTTCTTCAGCAACCTTCTTCTTTTTCTCCATCTCCTCCTCTATTTTCTTCATCTTCGCCGCCTGTTCGTCTGCAATCGCCTTCAACTTTGCTTGCTCTTCACGCTCTTTCCTCTCCCTGTTCTCTTTAACTAAGGCGGCCATCTTTTGTTGCTGCTCCTTGCTATAGGGGCTAGTCTCTAACCCAGTACGGCTCTCAACCATGGTGAAAGGTGCACAATCAGGACGATTCCACTCCTCACCACGTAGACTCTAACCTCCTGACTGACAAACCTATTGATTCAATCTAATGACTCACAGAATCCTGACAGGGATCCTGCCAACTATGGTCTCTAGCCTAGACCTACACTATGGTTGTCACTACTAGACCTGTTGCTGATCAGGAGGCCTTTTAAGGAGATCCCCCAAACTCCGCAAGAATTCTTTAACGTCGCAGACAGGACGACGAGATCACCAGGTCTTTACCTGTCGCACCGCCCACAGCTCAGCTTTTCAGGCCTACCATGCCACACCGAGCATCCCGTCGGTCAGTACCGGTCCTTGGGAGGGTTTGACCTCCGGGACAGTCGAGTCGTCAGACACAGTCTTTAGCCTTACTTAGTCTGACAGGGGTTCGGGTCAACTAGGCCCTCAACACTTAGGCTGCCTGTTGTTTCAGCCCGCAACTTAGTCTTTCAGGCCCACTGTGTCATACCAACTGTGTCCAGTCGGTCAGTACCGGTCCTTGGGAGGGTTATGCCCCCCTGGACAGTTGGATCTGCCACAGTCTCAGCCCTACTAGATCCGGTAGGGGAGTGGTCAACCAGGCCTATCCTTCATCCACAGAGTACTATCACCTAGGACAAAAGAGACTCGATGTAGAAAGAATAGACAGACTGACTTGACTCAGCAAGTACCAAGGGGTGTGTGCACATCCATAGGGCAAGGGATAGGCTGAGGGCTTGGCGAGATGTTACCAACTCCAGCTTGGTCAAAGTCTTGGTCAACGCTGCTACGACCTCCGGTCAACTCCGGTAATCTCCGATCAACTCCGGTAATCTCCGGTCAACACCTCCGATCAGCCCTCTTGGTCAACCCTCCGGTCAGCTATGGCTGCCGGCTCTTCTTCCTCGCCAACCCTCTTCTTCTTCTTCACCTTCCTCGCCTCCTTTCACCCCGCTGTCTTCTTCTTCTCTTTTTTT